CATTAATTCAAAGATCATAGAAACATCTACAATATGTCAGACATTGTGGGAGGAGCTGAGAGTGCAACAACGTGCTGTTCTATCAGGAAGTTCGCAGTCCAGGGTTTATATAATGGTAGTGAGCACTGCGTGAGAGCCTAATTACTGCGTGCTAGCCGCCATTCTAAGAACTCCATGTTGTGTTAAGTCAAATGAGTTAACTTATTTACTTCCCATAGCTGGAGCAAATCAGATGAGAAAACCAAGGCAGAAGGAAGTTAACTGCCCAAGGTCAGAAAACGAGGAAGTGCCAGACTGGTATTTAAATCTAGCCAGACAGACTCCATTTTAAGCAGAATCTAAACTTTTAGCCACCTGCCTTTATTTTTTTGGTGGGATAGGATTTTGAGCTCAGGGCTTCGTGCTTGCAAAGCAGGTGCTCCACTTCTTGAACCACACCTCTAGTTCATTTTGCTCTGCTTGTTTTGGAGATGGAGTCTTTTGAACTATCTGTCCCTCTGTGAGCCACCAGCAGCAGGTGGGCTTTTTGTTTTGGGCTCCAAAGTAACCAGAGCAAAATGGACTGGATGTGTGGCTCAAGTGGTAGAGAGTCTGCTTTGCAAACATGAAGCCCTGAGTTAAAATCCTGGTTCCACCAAAAACAGAATAGAATGATAAATTCAGATGTCTATGATGTTAGGCATGTACCACAGACAGGAGTGGGCTGGTTAAGAAAAATGTCACCTCTCTCGATGTTACTATAAGAAAAATAATAGCATAGGAGTAACTGCCACTAGGCTCCTCTGTCAGGGAATGTGGAGGAAAATGTTAAAAAGGGAGGCATTCCTGGCTGCATTTGATGCTGGCACGAAGGAATGGAGACCTACTTTTCCAGAAGAAATGGAAATCTGGGTTTTTATGAGCAATCTGCATTTCCTAGTTATTGGCAACTCCTTCTTATTGAGAAACTATGGCCATGACGACGACTCCTGTGCGTCAAGCAAACACTCCCCAGGCTAGATTCAGGACACAAGCCCCACCAGGTGGTTTCTTCCAGGAGACTTTGGAGAGAAGCCAGCAGCTTTCAAGTTCAGGATTAAACATGGAGCAGAGTCTGGGGGAAGAGAGAACAAGGGGACAAGTAACTAAGCAAAAATGGTCACATGTGCAGGGGACTGGTGGCTCGTGCCTATAATCCTAGCTACTCAGGAGGGAGAGATTAGGAGGATTGTGGTTTGAAACTAGCACAGATAAATAGTTTGCAAAACCTTATCTCGGAAAAAAAAAAAAAGACCATCACAAAAAAGGGCTAGTGGAGTGGCTCAAAGTGTAGGCCGTGAGTTTAAGCTCTGGTACCACAAAAGAAAAGAAAAAGAATAAACAACCAGTGAGCTGTGTGTCAAGAACTGTTGTCTGCTATCTTGCACCTGACTCAAGGTGGCTCTCATGTCATAGACAGCCTAGAAGACAGGAGTTCACCAAGGTGACGGTGAACCAGATCTTCCTCCAAAAGTGCATGGGCTCAGTTTCCTGCTCTATGTGCCTGAGGCCCTCTCAGGCTGGAGCAAACAGAATTAGACCTTTTTTTTTTTAATGGTTTCCTTTTGGTGGTACTGGGGTTTGAACTCAGGGCCTCATGCTTGCAAAGCAGGTGCTCTACCACTTGAGTCATGCCTCTAGCCTGGGTATCTGATTTTTAAGACAAGGACTCATCTCACGTAGTTCAGACTGGCTCAAACTCACTGTCTTCCTGTAGTTCAAACTTGCTATCTTCCTGTCTCAGCTTCCAAGTGTCCTCGTATCCTCCTGTCCCACCCTTGGAGACAGACAAATATAAGCATATAAGCAGCCATGACTTGTTCTTGGGCTAGAACTGGAAAAAGGCAAAGACAACCCACAACTCCAGAGGTCAACTTCAGGGTCAGTGTCTCCCCAAGTTAACATTAACCTTTAGGTAAACGAGCCACTCCTCCTCCAGGGCTTGGCAAACAGGAGTGTTAGGAGCATGGAGCAAGCCGTTTACCTGCAAAGAAGGGAGCTGCCCAAGGTCAAGACTCCATGTTCCTTAGTTCTCTTGAACTTTGCCAAGAATATGCCTGTTCACTGGAAAAAAGATCAATTCATAGGGTCCAGGTTTTATCTGTCAGTTGCCCCGAGTTTACCTCTTTCTCCTACTGCTCTGGTGTCACCATGAATGGATTTGGGCCCTCTTTGGCAAGAGAGAAGAAAACAAGTGGCACTCCTCGGTCGATGTGATAATCCCGTCTGCCTTCTCGTGTGATTGTAAGCGTTCAGTGAGAACATGAATACGAAAATTCCTTGCAAAGCCCAAAGAGCTAGCTCACACAGGGATCAGTATTCATAGGTACCACCAGCAATGAATTAGGTTTTGAAAAAGGACAAAGAGAAGTGGAAGAAGGCAGTAATATTAAAGTTATGGTCATGGGGTATAAAAGTTGTGTAGCATTAGCAAGCTTGAGTACAGAGGGGAGATGATCCCCGTGAGGTGGTGAGGCTAACATGAGCCTGCTCTAATTGCATACTGTTAGTCTAAAATGTTGAAATCCCTCTGGAAAATAGCATGTGATTTCTTTATACATAAGTACATATATATTACAAAAATATATTTACTACAAAGTAATCATATAATCCTATATTCATAGAGCCCTATAATCCCTGGAGATTAGCTCTTTTTTTTTTTGTGGTTTGGAGCTTGAACTCAGCATTAGACTTATCAGGCAGGTGTTCTACCACTTGAGCCACAGCTCCAGCCGCCTGGTTAGTAGCTTAAAAATAGAATTCCTATGCATGAAAGTGTGTGTATATGTGTGTGTGTGTGTATATATTTTCAAGAAATAAGATCTTAGATGGGTAGCTACTCAGAAGGCAGAGATCAGGAGAATCATGGTTCAAAGCCAGCCCAAGCAAATATTTCCCAAGAACCTATCTTGCAAATAACAAGGCCCCAAAAAGGGCTGGCAGAGTGGTTCAAGTGGTAGCATGTCTGCTTAGCAACTGTGAAGCTCTGAGTTCAAACCCTAGCTAGGACCACACCTGCCTTGAAAGTGTATATTTTAGAGATATTTAAATAATCTCAAAATTGGAAGCAACTTACATTTCCAACAATAAAGCAATGGCTGGTTAAATTCAGGTACATTTCTTCCATGGAATATTACATAGCCATTAAAAACTAGATGCACAAGCTATGGTGGGAAGTAGAAAATAGAATTGCAGTCTAGGCTGGCCTGGGCAAAAAATGAGACCCTATCTCCAAAATAACCAGAGCAAAAAGGGCTGGAGACATGGCTCAAGCAGTAAAATGCCTCCCTAGCAAGTAGGAATCCCTGAATTCAAACCCCAGTACCACCAAAAAATAAATACCACCCCCCAAACTAGGAACATGCAAACTTTGCCACCCTAAAAGATTTTTATAATGCGATATTAAGTGGGGGAAAAAAAAGCAGAGAGAAATTAATTAAAATGATATCAGAATAATTATACTTAGAAGTTAAGAATAAAAAAATTCATAGATGGGTGAAATTTGCTGTGTTAGAATAGGAAGCCACAGGTGATCTCCCACCCTACCCTATTTTCAGTCTCCTTTAGCATGACTTTAACAATGCTACTATTATCATTTTTAAAAATCCAAAGAGTACGTAAATAGCAAAAGGACTGTGGGCATCAAAAGAGAGGAGTTGAAGTAGTGAGGAGGTTAGCAGAAAGAACTCCAGAAAACTGGTGTTACAATCACAGGGGCCTGGGTGTTAGGGAATTCATGTTAATTGGGCCTGGCAGATCTGAGTTACCCAAAGGCAAACTAAGTATATTCCTGAGAGTAGTGAAGCAGAGATGTTAAAATCTGTTTTTAAAAAGCCATTTGAGCATGGTGGAGGGACTCAAGTGGTAGAGCGCCTGCCTAGTAAGTGTGAGGCTCTGAGTTCAAACTCCAATGCAACAACAACAAAACTACTGTTTGATAATCGAGCTAGGTGCAGTGGTTAATAATGCCTGTAATCCCAGTACCCAGGAGGCTGAGTCAGGAGGATCAGGAGTTTCAGGCTAGCCTGGGCGATATAGTGAGATCCCCATATCAAAAAAAAAAAAATTGAAGACAGGCGCCAGTGGCTCACACCTGTAATCCTAGCTACTCAGGAGGCAGAGATCAGGAGGATCTCGGTTCAAAATCAGCCTGGGCAAATAGTTCGGGAAACCCTATCTCAAAAAAGCCCATCACAAAAAAGGGCTGGTGGAGTGGCTCAAGTGGCCCTGAGTTCAAGCCCCAGTATCACACACAAAAAAATTTAGTATTTTGAAATTTTGAACAGACATTAAAGAAGTCTCCTAGGGCTGAGGAGCATGAGAACTTTGCTGGACTTGAAAGATTATGGGATTTGGTCTTGTTTTTAATTTGGACTCGGTGGGGTAGACAATATGGATTTTTCTGTGGTTGGAACACATGAAGGTCTTAATCTGATCCTGGGCTTCATTCTTACTGTCCAATCAGCTGTAAATCAGACCTGTGCTCCAGGAGCAATAGTTACATTCATTTTTTAGGCCTGCAGATTGCTGTGTAGGAGGCTGGATGCCGCACTGAAACAGTTAACAGACCTCCTCAATGCACCTCCACTACACCCTCGGATTCATCCCTCAGCCAGGGGCCTGGTTCTGAGGCTGTCTCCAGACACTCCCTTTAACAAGATGGTTTCCCAGGTGATACCATACATGGCATCTCCTGAAAATCCCAGTAGGCAAAAACTGAGGGCAGGGTTGGCTGAACGAGTCTCCAAGTTCATAGTCAATGGCAAAAGGTAGAATCAACTCCCTGTCCAAGTTTACACCAACCGTGGAGATCTGGTGGTATTTTATAAACTAAAACCAGTTGCCTGTCTTGGAAGCCTGGTTACCAACCGCATGAGCAAGGGCGGGGGTCCCCCTGCAGGTGGAACCTTGTAACTGCAGCTCCCTCTGCTCTCTCCAGGGAGGGCTGGTGTTTCCCCAAAGCCTCCTCCCAGGCCACCAAGATGCTACAGTGCCTGACTTCAGAGAGCGAGGAAGAGGCAGATTCTGAAGAGAGGGAGGAAAGTTCTATAGAAGATCTAAAAGAAATCATCACCCTGGATTTTGTGACAGAGAACATACAAAAGGGGTTTCAGAATGCCCAGCTGCAGTGCAAGAAGAAGAAGAAAAGGAGGTTAGGATTGAAAGATGGGGAGTGGGGGGGATCCATGTCAGTAAGAACAAGGATCTGGAGGGATTGGGGCCTTGGCTGATAAGGAGTCGGCAAAGGAGACACTGTGTGCTTAGACTGTCACAATCACACCACTTTCAGTTGACATAAAGAGAAGCCACTTTTAAAATGGTCTGTTTTATAGAATCAAATAGTGGTGTGTATAATCTAAAACCACGCCTTGTCCTAATTTTCATTCTATTTATGTCTAGAATGCCTTTTAAAGAATGGGTGGGGAGAGAAGAGTTCCTTGCATAAGCAGAAGGAAGTGCTTATTTGTCATATGGATTTAGTACACTTTAAATATAACCGGACCGTGCTGACCTACTAGGCTCTGACTGCAGCTTGTCCATTCCAGTTCTTGTTGAATATTTTGCTAAGCCTTGCTCCATTCAGCCTGACTAATGTCTGAAAGCTTGTCTATTTTCTTTTTTTTTTCTTTTATCATTCATATGTGCATACAATTGTCTATTTTCTAAAGCACAGCTTCCCTTAATGAGGAGAAGAGGGTGACAATATTTTGGCCAAAAACATTTTTTTTTTTTTGGTGGGACTGGAGTTTGAATTTAGGGCTCCATACTTGCAAAGCAGGTGGTCTGTCACTTGAGCCACACCTTCAGTCCATTTTGCTCTGGTTATTTTGGAGATGGAGTCTCACCAACTATTTATCCCGGGCTGGTTTCAAATTGCGATTCTCCCAATCTCAGCCTCCCAAGTAACTAGGATTATAGCTGTGAGTCTCCAGTACCCACCAACATCTTTAATTCCTGTCCCTTGTATGCTACTGGAGTAAGAGAATGGAGGCAATGATGTTAACATGAAGGTGCAAAGAAAATTAGCTGTAATTAAAATACAGAATTTCTATCTTGTGGGTGGAGTAGCAGCACTCTAACTGTGTTTTCTCCCACTCTGGATCCATGTTTTCAGTGATGGGGACAAGTTTAGTGTGGCAGCTTGGGCTTCCTGCAGCTCTAGCTGGGACAAGAAGTTTCTGGATGCAGTCCCTTATTCTTGCCAGTGTGTCTGTCTCTGTCTTGCTGCTTTCCTTTTTCTCTTTTCCAGATGATTGGTGATTAATCTATCCAGCTGCCGGTATGAGAGTGGTGAGCATAAGCCTTCAAGGGACCTACAATGGGGAGCTACTATAGTCCCCCAAGGGGGGGGGAAGGTCACCTATGCTTACTTGAGGATGCAAGGGGCTGTCTCCAAATCTTGGTACTTAGTTATCCATGCTCCAGAAACTATTTGAGGAAGCTGGGAATCTCATTCCAAAAACCTACTGTGGTCAAAACCCGTAAACTCATTCTTGAACATGGTGAGTTGGGTATTATAGAACAGGCAACTATTTTATTTATTTTTTTTTTTTTCAGGCAACTATTTTAGAACACAGAGTACAAACCAGCAGACTGTGGGCTGAACCTGACCTACAGGCTTACTTTGTACTACAGAGCACAAGTTCAAGTTCAAATGCCTTGGGTTGCTGTCCTTGTTACCAGCACTTCTTCCTTCCTAGGCCCTTCAAGGCATTTGGGTTTGTGTTGGAGTCAGCTCCTAGCTATTAGTATGAAAGAGGTAGGGGAAGAAGGATGTGATAACCTGTATGTGGTTTTGGACTACATTGTCTAATTTTTTTTCTCAGCAATTTGCCTCATTAATGAAGCTTGGCTCTGGCTCACATTAAGGATTGGTTTATATCCCCTGAACATTCAGGGCTTAGTGTTTGGAGGGAAGCCAGAGGCCTGCTTCCTGGCAAGGAGAAGCCAGGGCAAGTCAAACATTCCTCTCAGATAACCTTCTGAGGCAATCATTGAGTATTGGCTGTATTCTCCAACAGCTTTCACCTCTCCATGTTCTTTTCTTGGCAGTGGTACATCCATAACAGAGAAATAGATGGCTTCCAGTCTCAAGGAGCCAGCTGTCAATCTACTTCTTGGTCTGGGAGAACCTAGAGAAGGAACTTGACCACCTCATCACCCCACCCCAGCCTAACAAACCCGTGTTTCTTTAACTCCACTGCAGTGCGCAGGGCTGCCCAGCAGTATGGCCTTAGAGAGGGAGGGGAAAACGATGACTGGACTCTCTACTGGACCGACTACTCGGTGTCCCTGGAGCGGGTGATGGAAATGAAGAGCTACCAGGTGTTTTCCTCAGTTTCATTGTAGCTATCAGTGGGGCTGCCCTTCTTTATCACTGTCTCCCTAGGGGATCTCATGGTATTCCCATATCCCCCATTGTTCCTGAATTCTGGCTTCCTTTGCAGAAAATCAATCACTTCCCAGGAATGACTGAAATCTGCCGCAAGGACCTGCTGGCCAGGAATATGAGTCGCATGTTAAAGATGTTCCCTAAGGACTTCCATTTTTTCCCCAGGACCTGGTGTCTTCCTGCTGAGTGAGTTCTCTGCCCCCTTTTTCTCTCCACCTCCCACTTACACCTCCCACTAGCCCTGATTCTTTGGTTGCTACTTTCGCTTCCCATAAGGTCTCCCATCTCTCTTGCTACTGTTCAGGAAGAGAATGGATAAAGGGTGTGTCCAAGGTTGAGAAAACACAAGGTTCTGCCTATAAAATGAGGTGACAATTAGGGGCCAGGCGCCTCAGAGCCCATACCTGTAGTTGGATGAGAGTTTGTTCTGACCCTGAACGCTGTTGATTTTGAACTTGTTCCAATCATTTGACTGTGCACTTTCTGAATTTTTAAGGACATGGGTGCCTCCTGAGAGAGAGAGGGGTTGTGGTTAGCACCTAGGTTAGGAACAGGGAGGGCTGCCTAGCTTCTGTCCTTGTAGTGCCATTGGTAACAGGTGGCTTTTTCCCTTCTTGGGTCTCATTTTATCCATTAGAAATTAGACATACATTCTTAGCATGTGAAATGCTCTGGACCCCACCACCAAGTAGCAGGAGAAATGTGAGGTGACATCAACAAGACCTGGGGTACAGTGTTTGACACAGAGTCAAGGGGTTTGGAGAAGTGTCACTGTCAGACTTTACTCACTTAGCAAGGGCCTCAGAGAACTCTCCCTCTCTCCAGTCTGCCTGGCACTTCTCCAGACCAGGAGTGCCAGTGTTCCCAGGCTTTCAGCTCTGGAACCACTTCCAGGGCTTAGCAGCAACTTAGAAGGAATGTATTCCTCCAGATTTCATGGCCACAGAGAGGCTTTGTGGTTAAGTGGTCACAAGATTTCTTTGAGTTAAAACACAAAACAAGAAATGCAGACACATAAAATCCATTAATTTGGGTGTTTGTTTTTTGTTTTTATTTTGGGCCGTATTTGGGTTTGAACTCAAGGCTTGGTGCTTGCTAGGCAGGCACTCTATCACTTGAGTCACGCCCCCCCCAGCCCTGTTGTTATTTTTATTTTTGAGACATGGTCTGGCTGCATAACCCAGGCTGGCCTGGAATTCCTACCTAGCCTCCTGAGTGCTGGGATTACAGGTGTGTTGTTATCATGTCCGGCTTTAATTTGGTTTCTTTCTTCTGAAAATGTATCATTCACCTCCTCTGCTCTGGCAGAAGTGGAGGTGTCACAGGTGAAACACTAAAGCCCAGAGAGGAGTAGGAGATGTGGCCCAAGGTCATGTCACTTAAGCCAGATGCAGAACTTCAAATCTCCTATCTGCAAATCTAGAAAGCCAAACTACCCAGGTCATAGCGTTTATGGGGCGCGTAGCATGTGTCATCATTTTGCCTGCTATATGTCATTAACTACATGAGATGGGTTTTATTATCCACATTGTGTGGATAGTAAGATAGGCTTAGATAGGCCAAGTCCTCACAAAGGGTTACACAGCTAGCATATATGGTGTTGCCTCGATTTGAGTCCCAGTTCGAATTTCCTCCAAAGCCCACAGTCTCCACTGTGTGTGTACTGGTACTATCTTGACCACTGCTGGGCCACTGGGCATCTGTTGACCCACACGAGGGCTTTGTCACATCAGATAATTTTTCTTTTCTGCTTTTGTGGTTTTTAATGTGCCTGAGGATTGAACCCACGGTCTCACACATGCAAGGCTCTACCACTTAAGACAGACCTCAGCTATTTTTGGGTTTTGTTTTGCTTTTCCATTAAAAAGATAGCTTTCCTTTTCATTGCTCCCCAGCTAAAGGTGTGTCTTGTTTCCTCCCTGCTCTGGTAGCTGGGGAGATTTGCAGAGCTACAGCAGGTCAAGAAAAAATAAGACCTACATTTGTAAGCCGGATTCAGGCTGCCAAGGGAAAGGTATATTCATCACCCGGACGGTGAAAGAAATCAAACCAGGGGAGGATATGATCTGTCAGCTCTATATATCAAAGGTACTTCCTCATTGCGACGATTTATTTATTGTTCACAGCAGCGCCAGGCTCTAGCTCTGTGGGACGTGAAGTCAGTGGAGGGCAGAGGTGGGGATGAAGCTGAGCTCATCTTCTGCCGCTGGCTTTGTCAGACCAAGCCTTTTTTTTTTTTTTTTTTCTCTTTCAATACTGGGGTTTGAACTGAGGGCCTTGAGCCTTCTAGGCAGGTGCTCTACCTCTTGAGCGACTGCACCAGTGCTCGGATCAAGCCCTTGACTACAGGGCCTGGGTCAGAGTGTCTGTTGTCCTTGCACTCTTGTCTGTCGGTCCAGTGTCATTATACTAGCCCCTTTCCTCAAACAGATGAGAGCTGGGCAACCACCTCATTTATGGAGGCCCTCCTCTCATTTGGGAGGCGGAAGTGATTCTGGAGAGATTCATAGAAACCAGCTCCCCTCCCTGATGTAGGGGAGGGGGTTCATAGGTTATATTGGTGCAGCAAGTGGTACTGCAAGGAGGAAACCCTCTAGAAGTGTGGGTGAGGGGGAGAAGCACGGGCCTCCCCAGGCGAAGATGTCCAGGAGATCATTGCAGGAAGAGCTCTTGCAGAAGTGCAACTATAATATAGCCTTGGATAGTGACATGTGTCCTTTCCTCAAAGGACTTTTAATGTTACTATGCTTAGTTGCCAAGATATCTCTCAGAGGTGGTTTCTTGTGCCATTTAATGGATCAGGAAACCAAGGCACAGAATGAGTTTGTGACCTCTCCAAGACCACATATCAGGTCACAGAGCCCAAGTCTCTATTCTGCATCCCCCACACACATAAACCTGCACTTTACACCATGAGGCAATGATGGAGCTGAGCCCCAAAAGGAAATAGGAGCTAGTGACCTTCGTATGTGAATTTCTCCTCTGATGCCTACATGACTTCTGTCCTCCCCTTCCCAGCCTTTTATCATTGATGGGTTCAAGTTTGATCTAAGAATTTATGTGCTAGTGACATCCTGTGACCCCCTCCGGATTTTTGTATACAATGAAGGACTGGCCCGCTTTGCTACCACCTCTTACTCCCACCCCTGCACAGACAATCTGGTAAGCTGAGGGGACACACCACCTCCCCCAACCCTTAGCATGATCACAAATCCTCTGTGCATGTGGAGCTGGCTGTCACTCTTTCAGTATTTATTATGACCCGGGCTCCACATGGTCTTTCATTTAGACCTTCCAGGAGCCCTCAGAATTAGGAGTTACAACCCCCACTTTACAGGTGAGGAGATTAAGGCCCAGAGAGTATAAGGAACTTGTCCAGGGTCACACAGCTAGGAAGAGGTGAGTCTGGGACTTGTGGCCAGGTCTGCCTGACTTCAACACCAGACCCACAGTTCAAGGGTGCTGAAGGAGAAAAGACCATGGGTGAGTTTTCATGCCACCCACAACTTCTTGTCCCCCAGGACTCCTGAGGTTTCCCTAAGGAAGGCCACCCCAATCTCAGAAGGACTTGGAGTTTTGTTTCTTTCTTTCTGTTTTTTTTTTTTTTAATCTCTCTCTCTCTCTCTCTCTCTCTCTCTCTCTCTTTCTTTCTTTCTGGTGGGGCTGGGGTTTGAACTGGGGGCCTTGTACTTGCAAAGTGGGAGCTCTATCAGTTGAGCCACACCTCCATTTTGCTCTGGTTATTTTGGAGATGGGGTCTTGCAAACGGTTTGCCAAGGCTGGCCTTGCACCATGTTCCTCCAATCTCAACCTCCCAAGTAGCTAGGATTATAGTCGTGAGTCACCGTACCTGACTGAATTGGAGTTCCTCATACTCCAGATCATGGGGTACCCTTCTTACCTCCTCTGTTTTGTATTTTGCCTGTTTAACTAGACCCTAAGGCTTTCCCTTCTTTTTTTTTTTTTTTTTTATCTTTTTGAGCCCCAGGGCCCATGAGAGAGCACAGAGAGGACATAGAAGGCCTGAACTCCTACCTGATCCCACAGTCTTGTGTTTCCCCCCCTCCCCGCCCCAGGATGATATCTGCATGCACCTGACTAATTACTCCATTAATAAGCACAGTTCTAACTTCATTGAAGATTCTAACTCTGGCAGCAAGAGGTAAGGGAGCGTTTTCACTTTGTCTTTCCAGGATTCTACCCATAGCTCCTCAGTCCCTGCTAGGGTTTCCATCTTGGGTCCCATGGTCTCAGCAAAGACTGCTTTGCCTCTCAACCCAGACTGGACTCCATGGGCTTAGCCCTCTGGGCTGTTAATCATTAAGAGGAGGTCACATCGTAAACCCTGGAAGGCTGGGAGGAGGAGAGAGATAAACATGAATGTTTCCCCAGCAGAATACATACACACACCGAAATATCCCTTGTTACAGTTGCCCTTCTGACATTTCCAGATCAACAGACGTTTATTTATTGCTAGTCTGCCACATAGAAGAACTTGCCAGCCGTGGAACCTGTGGTTCCCTTGGGGGTTGCTCCATTATAGATTCTCCACCAATGTGTCATGATGCCCTGGTGTCACATGACAGGTGGCTAGCTGGCTTTAAGATTCCCCTGAAGGGGGAATATGAGGAATTCACGAGACTCTCCACAAACAGCTTTTCCATTTGGGTTATTGTCTAACTGGATTTTTAAGAGGGTAGTGGACTGAGGAGTATGAGTGTGGCCAGGCAAGGCAGGGAAAGAAAGGGGGATGCTTGAGGTGGTGGAGCCCCTGCCAGGTGCCTGAGTACAATTTTTGTTGCTGAATTTTCACCACAACACTCTGGCAAAGGCATTCTTATGTACCCTTGGGAGGTAGTGAGCTATTGAGTTAAGTGTTGGGTCCATTTCACAGATGAGGAAACTGAGTCTCTGAGAGGTTCAGCTGTCCATGGTCACACAACTGTGAATGCTAGAGTGAGTTGAGAAGCTAGTGTGTCAGATTCTGAGGCTCCAATCTGGCTGAAGAGGATGTGGAGGCAGTCTCCCCCTTTTTCAGAGAACACCAGCGTCCCCATGTTGCCTGAAGCTTTCCTATTTCCTCTTTTCTCTGCCCAAGTGGTGGGCACCACAGAGCCTGCTGCAGTGGTTGAGGCCTGGTGTTTTGTCCCCACTCTGATGATTGTCATCTGTGTAAGCCTGGAAAAGTCATTTGATCTGACTGAGCCTCCATTCCTCAAGGCCGTTAGATGACCTGCCCTGTCCTGCCCACCTTGCGGGGTCTCTGAGAGGCTAAAATGACCTGTGTTGACTGCATGGTGTTCGGGTTATTATTATTTTTCACTAGTCTAAGGACTTTCATTGCTTTTTTTTTTTTTTTTATGGTACTGAGGTTTGAACTCAGGGCCTACACCTTGAGCCACTCTACCAGTTCTTTTTTGTGATGGGTGTTTTTGAGATAGGGTCTTGGGAACTATTTCCCAAAGCCAGGCTGGCTTTGAACTGCAATCCTCCTGATCTCTGCCTCCTGAGTAGCTAGGATTACAGGCTCGGCTTCATTTCCCTTCTTTTATGATAACTGATATTGTCACCACACGTAGTGACTGACATTGTAATCCTAGTACTTGGGAAGCTGAGGCAGGAGGACTATGAGTTCTAGGTCAGCCTGGGCTACATAGCAAGATCATAGCTGAGAGGGAGAGAGAGAGAGAGAATTGATATTGTAGTAACAGGCCTCAGGCCATGCTGGAAGGGGTGTTGTGGGGTGGCAAGACTAAGAGGGCACAGAGACTGCACGTATTACTCTTTTTTTTTTTTTTCCTGGCAGTGCTGGGTATGAAACCCATGGCCTCATGCATGTTAGGCAATTGTTCTACCACTGACCTACACCCTGAGTCCTCAAATATTATTCTGCTGCCCTGCTTCCTCCCCTCTCCTTCTTTCTCCTTCTCCTCCCCTCCCTCTCGCCTCTCTGCTCTTCTCTGTGCACCTTTTCTGTTGGAGCAGTCACCTGGCCCCATGACCTACTGCCTTGCCCTTGCTTGGCTCAGCCTCTCTCCTCTGGAGCCCCATCTTTCCTCAGCAAGTGTGCCAGAGAGAGCTTCCTTTTATAACAAAGTCAGTCTCACAATAACTCGTTCATCCATGAATGGACCAATCCATTCGTGAGGACAGAATCGTCTCACAGGTCCCCCGTCTCAATACTGCCACATTGGGGATGAGTTTCCAACACATGAACTTTGGAGGTATGCATTCAAACCATAGCATGTCCTGGCCTATGGTGTGCTTCCCATATTCCCAGGTAGAGTTCTTTTCCTCTTTCCTCTCCCTTTTCCTTTCTTTCTTTTTCTCTTCCTCCTTCTCCTTTTTTTTTTGGTTTTGAGACTCAGTTTCACTATGTAGCCCAGGCCAGCCTGGAACTCGAGATCTTCTTACTTCAGCTTCCCAAGCAGCTGTAATTATAGTTGTGTACCCCAGCACTCAGCCATCCTCCCCATTCTCTGAGACAATCTGCTTCTCATGCTGAGGCCAGGTGCACTGCTAGTTAACTCCCCACTGGAATCCAGACTGAGCAGGAGCCGTACTCCAGTCAGAGTGAAAGACAGAAAAACTGCAACCCTGTTGGACTGTGGGGCAGACACCAGTCATCTTCCTTGGAGTGTGCTTGGCACACGGCCGATACTAAGGTGAATTGACTCACCGCTGGGCATTACGAAATTGCATAAAAATGTGAAGGGCTGTGAATCATCAAGAAAAGGCTGTTATGTTTTGTAATGTCTGCTATAAGAAGTCAGGGAAGTGTATAATCTATTTCAGGAACATTTATTTCCCAATTAGGCAAATAAGTTCTAGCCACTTGAAAGGACTGATTCCAACCAATGTGGAAAATCCATTTATGTGCAGTTCTCCATTTTCTCTTCTTTTCTTTTTTTGGTGGGACTGGGATGTAAACTCAGAGCTTCATGCTGGCAAAGTAGGCACGCTACCACTTGAGCCACACCTCCAATCTGTTTTGCTCTGGTTATTTTGGAGACGGAGTCTCGAGAACTATTTGCCTGGGCTGGGCTCGAACCATGATCCTCCTGGTCTCAGCCTCCCAAGTAGCTAGGATTACAGTCATGAGTCATGAATGCCCAGTGTCTCCAGAACTTTCTGGTTTTCAACATGCTATGGTTGGCCTTGGATGGCCGGGGACAGCTGCCCTGCCTCATGGCCTGTGGTTTCTTTCTAGGAAGCTCTCCACATTCAACATGTACATGAAAAACCATGGTTACGACGTGGAGCAGATGTGGAGGGCTATCGAGGACGTCATCATCAAGACACTCATCTCAGCTCACCCAATCATCAAGCATAACTACCATACCTGCTTCCCCAGTCACACGCTCAACAGTGCCTGCTTTGAAATCCTGGGCTTTGACATCTTGTTAGACTGCAAGCTTAAACCCTGGCTGCTGGAGGTAAGCAAGTTTGGGCAAGGGGTGAAAACTGCCCCACTAGGGTCAGCCAGTTTCAGGAACTGTGCCCTGCTGGCTCTCCAGGATTGGTTTCAGCAATTTCCTCACCACTTCCTCCCATGGTACTTGCTACCCCTGCAGGACTTCACTCTTAGCTGAGAAGTGGCCACCAGAGGGGGGTAGATGGCTGGGAATTAGAGAATTCCTTGCGCCTTCTTGAGGTTCAAACAGACTTGCAGATGCCACCAATCTCAGACCCAGAGTGATCCTAATGATAGCTCTGCCTTTGGTAACAGGGTTTTCTTCCAGAAAGGGGGCGGTCTTTGTGAAAACTGGGTTGATGATGGTCCCTATCAGATGATGACTGTCTTGCCTGGCTCTCAGAGACTTGGATTTTTGAGTTCCAATTGTCAGTAGAGGGACTTGGTGTCTGCTGACCTGGAGGTGAGGGAGCCGCTCAACTGGTTTCCTGCCTCCACCATGGTAGGGAGAGAAGGTTCCCTGTCTCCCTGATTGGAGTGGTCCTCTGGAGCCCTCTCAAACAGCCATTCAGTGTGCACCATGAGGAGCAAAGCGTGTGAGAAGGAGTCAGAGGTGCTAACAGCCATTGGCTAACAGGTACCAATGCCAGAGGCATACTTTAGGGTAGAGATCTGAGTCGTAAATGGAATTCCTAGGGATTTGCCCTTCCTCACCCAACTCTTATTCTAAGGTCTATAGGGAGGGCTGTTTGGCTCTCCTACCCCAATAGTACAATAAGGCACCAGCAGCAAGTCTTCAGAAACTGCTAGAAATCTACAAATGTCACATAACACCTCTTCACAATATAGACTTTTCTGTGGGCAGGAATGAAGTCTTCTCCTTCCTCCCACCTGTCTCCTACTCAGCTCTGGTCCATCTTTGGAAAGTGTCACTCCTTTTTTCCTTCCTACCTCCAAGCCTGTCTCTTTGGACTACCCTCTCCCATCCTGTTCTGTGGAATGCGTGGTGCACATGAGAGAACACATGCACACCAGATGGGGGGGCCAAAGAGAGAGTACCTTTCATGCTTCCAGAGGGGAAAGGACTGAGATAAAAGCTGGTTACACTACAGAGAGTTCCACTTCCTGCTTTTTTTTTTTTTACTGTGGCTCTGGTGCAGACCCTCTCTCTGCTCACTTCTGGCCTTGGTAGCCAGGACCCTGAGGCAGGCACTGGTAAGACCTGGAGGTGGCATCACTCCTGCTTTCACCCTGAATATCCCTGTCCCCAGCTGCCATCTTGCCCTCACAGGTCAACCACTCTCCAAGCTTCTCCACTGACTCCAGGTTGGATAAAGAGGTGAAGGACAGTCTGTTATATGACACTTTGGTCCTGATCAACCTGGGAAGCTGCGACAAAAAGAAAGTCTTGGAGGAAGAAAGACAGCGGGGGCGGTTCCTACATAAGTGTCCTTCTCGGGACATCAGGTACAAAAGGAATCCCTAACCCCAGGGACCTTGTTCTCTGACTGCCCTGTTCTCAGTAAGACTGGCTGTCTTACTGACTTGACAGTGAACTAATTTATGTGGCTTTTCTGTGACTTCTCTGAGCCTCAGTGATCTTTCTGTGAAATGGAGCTAATGATACATAAGATTGCCTCTACAATTTTTTTGGCAGGGTGGTACTAGGGCCTTATATTTGCTAGGTAGGCACTCTTACCACTTGAGCCACTCTGCCAGCCCGGTTGAATTATTTTCTTTATAGTATACATTTTTCGAAGGCTGCCTTTTTTTTTGTTTCTTTTTTGACTGTCCTGGGGTTTTGAACTCAGGGCTTCACACTTACTAGGCAGGCACTCTACCATTAGAGTCACTTCACCAGGGGCACTGTGTTTCTCAGGCGCTTTCTCTGCCTGCCCTGTAAGCATGGTGGGAGGAAGGTGGAATGGGTTGTATAGTCCTATTGTTGAAGTGAAGGAGACCAAGAGACTCTGGCAGGGGAGCTGACTTGCACAAGGTCACCTTGTTGGCAACAGCTCTGGACCCAGAGCCTGATGGGATTCTGGGGAGTGGCCAGCACAGTGAGGGTCTTCTCTGCATAATATGACACTGGATATCTCAGTGGCTCTTGGTTTCCTTGCTGTAAAGGGAGCTTATCATGTCTCCCTACCTGACCTCCACTTCCCCCAGGGGGCCACGAGAAAGAATGAGATCATCACAGCTCATAAAATCTCATTAGACTCATCCAAGAAGCCCTCAGTTTTAGCAAAACCCAAGCTGCCATTCTCCAAAGAGTAATAAGGGCATTGAATGGGAAGGTGGCGACAGCCTGCCTGGTCAGACTAAGCCAAGAGGGAAATGGGTTTTACTTATAACAGGAGAGAATTGGGTGAGCTGTCAGAAAGACTGATAAACAGCTCTCTGTGTATTTTGACATTGGCTGTCCTGGGAGGGCTAGACTCTCCTTTCAAAGGAAACATTCTTGCTTTTATTTTAACAAAGGCTGACTGACCACTATTACGTGCAAGGCCTCCATCTGGCCTTAGGTGACACTCAGTCTGGACATGTCCCTTCCAGGAAAACTTAACTGTTTCCCTTATGTTTTGCTTCCAACAGGATGGAGGAAGCCAAGGGTTTCCAGGCAATTCGGTTACAGAAAACTGAGAAATATGAGAAGGAAAACTGTGGAGGGTTCCGGCTGATCTATCCTGGTCTGAATTTGGAGAATTATGAGAAGTTTTTCCAGGACAATAGCTCCCTCTTCCAGAATACTGTGGCTTCCAGGGCTCGGAAGGTGTATGCCCGGTAGGAAGGCTCCCAGGCTGAGGTGGGCAGGGTGTTCTGGGGATTGTACTTGACCTGCTGGGTGTCCAGCCTAAGGTGGCACAGACTCCATGCCTCAGTTCCTAACCTTGAAATTGCTGGGGGGAGCATTTGCTGTAGTCTCACAATGACCATGAACTGGAAGGTTCCATAGTACAGGGTGTCGTTAAATAGATGGGCAGCTGTTTCTAGAAACTCACCCCCCAAAACAGATATCTCCATCCCACTCGAGGATGTCCACCCCCTTGTGCTGCCTCCTGGCTTCACACAGGTGTGAAATCTACAACTGGAAGAGACTTGATTGAGTCCAGTCCCCACCAAACACCTCATTTTATAGAAGGGGAAGTCGGAGCAGAGAGGGGGGTCACATAAGCAAGACGATGTCAGAGAGAGACTAGAGCCTCCCTGTCTCCTGACTCTGGAGACCAAGGGATTTCACTGTATTATATACCTTTTGTCCACCCCCAGGATCCATTGGTCAGAGGGCCCAACATATGAAGTGGTCCGACATGGGCACCCCTGGCCTTAGCTTCCTTCCCACACCCCCTTTCCAACACCTGCCACAGAAGGGGAGTGGCTTACTGGGAAGTGGAGAGGACATGGGGGTACAGCGATGGGGGTGCAACTCCACTTACCACACATCTCTCCTTGAGAGGATGCTATTCCTCAACCTGGGGATGGTTAGAGGTATGGCTCTTTCCTTCCCACGCTGCCCTTTGACCTTTCTTTACTTGTGCAGCCTGGACACCTGGGGGAGGGAAGTGGGGCACTCCATCTTCCCACTTGTCTGTCTGTCCACTGAGGAGAATGCCTGCCTTTATAGCTGGTGACACTCACTTGTTCCTCAACTGGCAGGCAGCTGATCCAGGAGCTGAGGCTGAAACAGGAGAAAAAATCCTTCCAAACGAAAGAAAAGAAGGTGGAGACACAGGGCGAGTCAGCAGGCGAGCAAGCGAGAGGCAGAAGTGCAAGGGGCAGGTCCCAGAGACAAAAGCAGAATTGCAAGACTGCCATCCACACCCCCAAACAAGTAAACCCGGGTGGGAGGGGAGCGTGCATACGCAGCACCCTTCCCCAGCTGGGGCCCATCTGGGGGGGGATGCTGTGGAGACCACTACTCCGAGCCCAGACACACCAATGGGCTGCACAGAGGGCTGCCACAGGAAGGGGGGAGCCCCCTTGGAACACACACACAGCCTGCATCCATCTGAGGATGCCTCCATCCAGGCAGCAGAGGACTCTCTCTGGTCCATCGTTCTTATCTTGCTGGGAGGCTGGGCATGATCCCATGTAGGGAGCAGGCACCAGGAATATGCGTGTCCTCACATCCTCAACCCCAACCTGGGTGGGAAGGCTCCCTGTAGCAGGCCACCAGGAAGAGCTGCTGGGAGGCAGGACTCAGAACATTACATGGGATGATGGACTATAGCCGGGGTCCTCTCAGCATAGGGTGGCCCAGCCCCAGGCATAGACAGCTGTCCTGTTGTCCTATGATCTAAGTCCTTAGCTTCCACCTTCTCTGCCTAGTGTTGTCTTCTAGTTCAGTGGAAAGATGCAGGTGTCTTTTCAGTTCATCTCCTTTATCTTAAAGACTCACATGGAAGGACAGGATTAGCTGTTCGGCTCCCCACTTCCCCTACTGGGGATTAAACTCAGGGCTTCTTATTTCCTAAGCCCTACCATTTTAGTCACTTCCCCTACTCTCTCCACACACACCTTTTTAAACTTTGTTATAGGGTCACAGGCCCTATGGGAATCTGATAAAAGCTATGGACTCTCTTGCTGTAAAATACACAAGGCACCTTTTTTTTTTGCAGTACTGGGGTTTGAACTCAGGGCCTATACCTTGAGCCACTCCACCAGCCCCCCCCCCATTTTTTTTTTTTTTTTGTAATGGGTTTTTTGAGATAGGGTCTCACAGACTATTTTCCCAGGCTGGTTTCGAACCACAATCTTCCTCATCGCTGCCTCCCGAGTGGTAGGATTACAGGGAACAAATGGCTCCGGTTTATTTTGTTTTTGCTTTTTTTGGTAGCACTGGGCTTGAACTCTGGGTTTTATGCTTGCTAGGCTGGTGCTCCACACTTGAGCCATACATCCAGTCCTTTTTTACTTTGTTTATTTCTAAGACAGGACCCAGGCTAAACTGGATGTTTTTGATTTTTGAGATAGGGTCTCACTATATAGCTCAAGCTGACTGCAAACTCACTCTGTAGCTTAGGGTGGCCTTGAACTCATAATCCTCCTACCTTTGCCTCCCAAGTTCTGAGATTATAAGCATGTACCACCACACTGGTTCAAGATGCCTCTTTCTTTTTCTTTCTTTCTTTTCCTTTCCTTTTCTTTTCTTTCTTTCTCGCTCTCTTTCTTTCTTTTTGGTGGCACTGGGGTTTGAACTCAGGGCCTCACACTTGCTAGGCAGGTGCTCTACCACTTGAACCACTCCATCAACCGCCCCCCACCCCACCTTTTTGTGGTACTGGGGATTGAACCCAGAACCTTGTGCACAGTGTACCATTTTAGAATTGCACTTTCAAGTGGCTCCAAGACCCTCTGAAACTGCCATGTGTCCTCTAAAGGTCACAGAACTCCAGGCAAAGAGTCCTAGATTAGAGAGACTTTGCTACTGACTGTTTTCCTTCTCCTGTCTCCTTTGCACCTACCCTTGGGTGCAGATGAATTTGGAAGTAGACAAGCTGGGTTCACACAAGCTCTGTGTTTGATCTTCTTCCCAGTACTTCCAGCCACTGGTATTAGCGTCCTGCACACCTGACTTGTTCTTGAGTGTCAGAGACACAAAGAAAAACAAGACAGACAGTAGCCTCAACCGGGAGGCCCCCAAGAAGGAGGCTGGCACCATTTTCCACAAGTCTATGCCTGCGAGGTACTACAATTCTGTACCTGACCTGAGGAATTCAAGTCTTACCTGCTTTGGGATAGAGCTCTGTAAACCCAATTCCAAGGAGGCCAAGTCAGCTTTGGCTGTGAATATATTTGACAGCAAGGTGGTAAGTAAAGGACTGGCTCTTGGAGGGAGTGGTCCCTTCTCCACCGCTGACTTACTATGGCCCTTTGAGTGGCCCTCCCTGGGCCTCAGTTTCCCCCACTTGTGGAGCCGAAATTGAGGAATGGCATGCTAGCCGGGAGAATGGGCCTGGGACAACTATTAGGAAGGCCACCCTGTGCATCTCCTTTCTTTTTTGTACTTTTTTGGTTCGTGGTATGGGGTTTGAACTCAGGGCCTTGACTGGCTAGGCAAGTGCTCTACTGCTTCAGCCACTCTGCCACTTCACATCCCATCTTCTCCCATACAAGTACTGACCAGGCCCGACCCTGCTTCGCTTCCGGATCAGACGAGATCGGGCGCGTTCAGGGTGGTGTGGCCGTAGACATCAGCCCATCTTCTTAAGCAAGTTATTACCTACGCTGTTTCCTCAGGCTCTCTGGCAAATTGCCACAAACCTGGTGGCCTAAAACAGTGTGATCGCTTCTCTCACAGTTCTGGAGACTGAGGCAGGAGGAATCTAACTTAGAGGCCAGCCTGGGCCACAATAGAGAGCTCCAGGCAAGCCTGGACTATGCAGGGAGACCCTGTCTCAGACAAACAAACAAACAAACAAACAACAACAAAAACAGGGATGGGGGGGATGGCTCAAGTAGTAGAACATTTGGCTAGCAAGCTAGCACAAAGCCCTGAGTGCAAATCCCAGTATCACCGAAACCAAAAACCCCTAAAACTTTTTCATAGCAAAGACAACATTCAAGAATAAAAAAACGCCTAGCTACTCAGGGGCAGAAATCAGGAGGATCATGGTTCAAAGCCAGTCCAGGGAAATAGTTCTTGAGATGCTATCTTGATGGCTATTAAAATAGGCAATGAGGCTGGGCGCCAGTGGCTCACGACTGTAATCCTAGCTACTTCGGAGGCAGAGATAGGGAGGATTGAGGTTTGAAGCCAGCCCAGGCAAATAGCTTTTGAAACCCTATCTCAAAAACACCCATTACAAAAAAGGGCTGGTGGAGTGGCTTGAGGTGTAGGCCCTGAGTTCAAGCCCTAGTACCGCAAAGATTTTAGATCATTTGCCAAAGAACTTGGCAGCCTTTCTATCGAGATAGGGTCTTGAGAAGTATTTGCCCGGGCTGGCTTCAAACCATTTTAAATGTGCAATTTGGCATTAAGGACAATGGAATTTGTACAATCATCATTCCTATCCATTGGCAGAACCCTTTTATCACCTCAAACAGAAACTCTGTAGCCACTAAATTTAACTCTTGGCTGAGGGCATGGCTCAAGTGGCAGGGTGTTTGCCTAGCTAATGAAAGGCCCTGAGTTCAAGCACCAGTACTGCCCAAAATAAATAAACAAATACAGTCATACCTAAATAAATAAGTAAAATCAAAAAGAAAAGAAAAGAAAAATAAAATTCATTCTCCATTCTCTCTTTCCTGCAGCCCCTGGTAACTTCTGTTTTAGTTTCTGACTCTAGGATTATGACCTTTCTAGCTACATCAAATAGGTGGGATCATAAGATATTTGTACTTTTATGTCTGGACTATTTCACTTAGCATGTTTTCAAGGTTTATTGATGTTGTAACATGCATTGGAATTTCCTTCCTTCTTTTTCTTTTCTTTTTTTTTTTTTGATGGCACTGGGGTTTGAATTTCAATTTAGGGCCTATACACTTGCTAGGCAGGTGCTTTACCTCTTGAGCCACTCTGCCAGCCCTTTTTTTTATGATGGAGTTTTTCAAGATAGGGCCCAGAGAACTATTTGCCCAGGATTGGTTTCAAATGGCAATCCTCCTGATGTCTGCCTTCTGAGTAGCTAGGATTAGAGGCGTGAGTCACTAGCTCCCAGCAGAACTAAAGTTTGAACTCAGGGCAAAGCAGGCGCTCTACTGCTCGAGTCATCCCTCCAGTTCATTTTGCTCTGGTTATTTTTGGAGGTGGGGTTTCATGAACTATTTTCCCCACCTGGCCTCAAACCATGATCCTCCTGAGCTCTGCCTCCTGCATAACTAGGATTGCAAGTGTGAGTCACCAGCGCCCGACTTCCATTTTAAACATTTGAAATGACCATTTCTGCTTGTTTCATGCAGGAATAGCATAGTAAGGAGCCATTTGGTCCCCCACAATCTTATTTTAGGTTGTTTTCTCTTTTAGCCCTTTACCTCAGTAGAAATTTCCCCAGAATCCACCCAGGTCTCAACCTCTTCAGAGTCTCCACCAAACTTGAGCCCAACCACCAGGTCTGAATGCAGTAGCCCAGAGATTGTCAGGGTGGTCTCCTTTAAATGCAAGCAGCCAAAGACCCCCCAGCAGCTCATCCAGGAGAAAATATTAAAGCCTTCTCTGCGTACAAAATCCCAGAGCTTCTCACGGAGTTTGAACCCAAGCTGGGCTTTGCTGAAGAATGATATGAAGAAACAGCAGCATCTAATGTCAGCAATATTAACCAATGTTCAGCTGAGAGGGAGGCTTTCCTTCTTCCCACCTCACTGCAGCCCAAAGCTGGTGCTGAGGGACCCATCACGTGAGTGCTGGTGTGTGCAGAGGTGTGGCAGTAGCTTGGGTGTGTTAGTCAGCTTTCCATTACTATGACCAAATGCCTGAGATTATTAACTTATAGAGAAAAGGTTTGTTTGGGCTCATGGTTTTAGAAGTTCCAGTTCATGACTGGCAGACCTGTTGCTTTTAGGCCTCTGGCAGGGGCACTTAATGGCAATGGTGGGAGGTGTGTGATAGAGCAAAACCACTCACCTTATGACCAGGAAGCAAAAGATGAAGAAGGGGCCGGGGTCTTGATAATCTCCTTCGAGAATGACCTAAGAACCTCCCACTAGACTCCACCTCCCAAAGGTTCCACCATCTCCCAATAGCATCACATTGGGGACCAGGCCTTTGACACATGGGCCTTTAGGGGGACACCTGACATCCAGACTATAGCTTTAGCCAGGGATGGTGATCATGCCTGAAATCCGTCTGAAATCTGCTGAGGCAGCAGAGTCATGAGTTGGAGGTTCTCATTCTGATGAAGTGGTCAGCTGAGTCTGTACCAATAATAGGCAAGAGAAACAACTCAGAGGAAAGAAGTGATGGCTGATTCTGCTTCCCAGAGCTTCAGCCAGTTTTAGGCCATGGGAAGGGGCCTCCTCCAGGAATTTGTCATGAATCCAGCAGCACAAATTGATGATACCAATGGCTTTGACTTTCCAGAAAACTCCTCCTTGCCCAGGGAATTGTGCTCCCACAGCCGCTGCAGATCTGGCAAGAGGAGGCAGCTGGACGTGCCCCCCTTCCTTGTCTTGCACAGTCCTCACATCCAGAAGCAGTCTCTGAATGACCTACTGGTGGTTGCTACTCCAGCCCGACTGGACCAGAGGCCTGGCAGAAGCCATCCATGTGCTATGAGGAACCCGTGTATACAGGATCGGGAAGTGTACAGCCACTGACTGACCTCTGGCCAAAAAGGATGTGAGAGGATCTAGGTAGGTAACTACATGGGTTCCCTTCACATGTTGGGCATTGGCAGGCACATTCTCGATTTTTCTGGAGGGTTGAGTATGTGGGAGGAGGGAGGTATTGATGAAGACAGAACATAGAGGTAAGTAGACAATTGAGACTTACTTCAGTCAAAATGTGAACCTTTGGAGTCATCTTCCTCACCTAATGCAGACTGTGACCTGGCAGCCCTAGTAACCAGTAGCTCATACTTCAGGAGTGCCTGTGACGAACAGCTGCCCACAGGCATCACTTGGATGCATGTAAAAATGCATATTCCAGCAGTTAATCCCAGTCTTGGGAGGCTGAGGCAGGAGGATTTGGAGTTTGAAGCCAGCTGGGGCTACATAGCAAGATCCTAAATTAATACATTTTAAAAATGCATATTCCAGGACCTACTCCCAGAGTTCTGAACCTATAGGTCCTGAGAGGCAGGTCCAGGCATCTACATTTCATGAGCTCCTCTGATAGTTCTCTCATCACACTTAGAGAACGGGGTCTGGTGTTTCCTAACTTCCCTCATGGAAGAGTCATGGGGAGTCCCTTGCTAAGCCTATGGTCCAGGCCAGACCCTGGGAAACTATGACTGTGTTCAGTCTGGGATGGAGCTCTGGGAATCTGTCTTTTGAATAAATATCTCAGGTGTGAATGGTAAAGAGTCTTACATCTAGACCTAGGCCTGAGCAGAGAAGCTGAACCTTGTGCAGCCAGGCCTGACCTACAGGTCTGCGACTGGAACAAAACTCCCTGGTCCCAAGCTGAGTGTGGTGGTACATGCTTTTAAGTCCAGCACTCTGGAGGCTAAGACAAGAGGATCATAATTTCAAAACCAGTCAGGGCTATACAATGAGACCCTGTCTTGAAAAACCAAACAACCACCACAAACTCTCTGGTCTTTATTGAACTCTAACCTATCCCTGAAGGTATTCAGCACAAGGTTTCTAATTTTCTGGTTCTAGAATTTTAAGCAAGGATGGTTATTTATGGCTATTTGTGTTCCTGCTACAGGTTGAGTATCTCTTATCTAAAATGCCAGCCAGGTGCTGGTGGCTCAAGCCTGTAATCCTACCTACTCAGAAGGCAGAGATCAGGAGGATCAAGGTTTGAAGCCAACCTGGGCAAATGGTTTGTGAAACCCTATCTCAAAAAAAAACATCACAGAAAAAGACTGGTGGAGTGGCTCAAGGTGTAGGCCCTGAGTACCCCAATAAATAATAAAATAAAATGCTTGCGACCAGAAAATCGGCTTGAATTTCAGATATTTTTGGACTTGGGGATATTTGCACATACATAATTAGGTATCTTGGGGATGGGATTCAAATCTAAACATGAAGTTTATTTATATTTCACATATCTCTTATGTACTTAGCCTGAAGGTTTTATATATATATATATCTGTTATTATGTTATTCTGTATATAAATATATATATATATTTGTTGTTATTATTATTATTATTTTGTTTGAGGATTCCACCCAGGGTCATGCACAAACTAGGCAAGTACTCTACCACTGAGCTACAATCCCAGCCTTGTACAATAGTTTTAATAATTTTGTGTGAAGCAATGTTTCATGTGGGAAATTTTCTACTTGAGGCATCATGTAAGTGTTCAAGTTTTGGATTTGGGTGAAGTTTGGATTTTCAGATTAGGAATGTTCAATCCGTATTTTAAAATGGGGAGGGTAACAGAGCAGATTGCAATGAAAATTTTATTCACTAACACTGTTAAAATGAAATAATAATCGGCTGGGTGTGTAATTCCGTGGCAGAACATTTGCTTAGCACGTGTGAGGTTGGCAAGGCAGATGTTTTTGCCTAATCACCTGTTTGCACATGAAGAAAATCAAGGTGTGAGGACATTAGATGACTTGCCCAATGTCATGCAAGTGATAGACTCGAGACAAATAGCCCAGTGTTTCTTCTTGTCACAAACTTAGAACCTGCCCTGATCCATGTGAAGAAAATTCTTCCATTTTTCTGCCGAAGTTACTGTAATCTCACAGTCCTTCTCCTGGACAGGCTTTTACAGTGGGCTGGTCACTGAGCCCAGGGTGGAGATCTGTCCAACAGTTGAATTCTGGGGATTAAATAACCCATTTTATAAGATGGGGTGGGGGCTGGAGATATGGCTTAAGTGGTAGAACAGCTGCCTTGCAAGCACCAGGCCTGAGTTCAAACCCCAGTGATACCAAAAATAAAGTTTGGGATAGAGAGCTGCAGGAAGATGAAAACTGTGCAGGGAAATGAGTTTCAGGTGACTGTGAAGCACCTGATCCATAGGTAGGATGAGCCACTAGGTAATGATGAATTAGTTAACTTTAGGGCTGGGAGGGTAGCTCAGTGGTAGTATATATATTGTATATATACTAGCTTGCCTCGTATATGCAAGGCCCTAGGCTCAATCCCCAGCTCTACAGTGAGGGGGAAAAAGGAGAAGAATAATCAATTGACTTTTAACATTCTGGATGCTAGTTTGAAAGAAAAATCTTTTTTTATTCTTTCAGAATCATACTGGCTCTTGGACATTTCATCCTTTCCTACCTCTTACTCCAAAGAAATGGTTTGTCTCTTCCCACGGTGTCTATAATGTCTACAGACTCAACTGAAAGTTTCATTTCCTCATCTCAAAATCCTAGTCTGATATACACCTCCCATTAGCACCACCAAGGCCAAGGATCTTGCTTTTATGACCTCCCAGTAAGCTTACAGTGCTATAGGGCCATGACTTCCAGGGGTCGATTGGTGCTGCCCCAGGGCTCACCCCTGTTGTTTCGGTAGCATCTCTCCTCTGGGTCCCTCACGTGGCACCATCATCCAGAATGCTCCCCCAAGTGCAGCAACTTGGGAGAAGAGATTCAGGAGGAGTCATAATTTTCAGAAGTCCAACACCCCCAGTCCACCAACAGGCCTGGGCCAGTTGGTCTTCCTCTCTGAAGAAAAGAGAGAGGAACAAGCCTAAGTGTTGTGGACAACTCTGAACCCCAAGTAAGAGAACTGGGGCAGTTGCAAATTCACCAGTGAAAAGATCAGACCTTCTCCCACCCCGGCCAGCCCAAAGAATAGCTAACTCAGTACCCAGACATCTTCCTGCTAACTCCCCTTCCAGCTAACTCAATCTTGCTGGCAAAGACAGAGGTGATGTGAGAATACCCAGTCTGCAGAGGTATCTTCCATTGACCTGCGGAGATGCTATGCCTTTCCCTCGTGTGTACATTAATAAAATAAAATATGCTCAATGCCAGCACAAGGAGCCTGATCCAGGGGGAGAATGGGAAAGGAAGTTAAGAAAATAGTTCTCCTGAGTACCCCTCACCAAGAAAGTGCCAAACCTTTTGAAATGTATTAGGAGCCTTTGAAGAATTTCTTGGGATGAATGGTCTACAGTAACCCCAGAGCCTGAGGTGATGCCTCCACCTCCACCCAGCACAGGGCTTGCCTAGACTTTCGGTATTAACATGTCACCTCATTTGCCAGTTCACTCTGCCCTCTCCAGGAATGTGACCCAAGCTTTTTTGCCTCACTCGCTCTTCTCACACTAACTCTCCAGTGAGAGCTTGCAGGGCAAAAATAGGGAGGGGTAGAAGTGTGTTCACCTGCTTCACAATGGTGACCCGGCTTTGCCTTGTGGAGTCCCTATGGAACAAATTTCTGGCCTCCTTAAGAATGTCAGGGAAATTGGGATACTGGAACCCTACCATATTCCTCAAACAAAACACCTGAATTATCCAAGATGTTGAAATTAAACTCAAGTCATATGTCCAGCTGTGAAACACAGACACACCCATCTTCATTCCCATCTGGGCCTGGATTTCAGGGATTCCCATAGAGTATTTCAGTAAGTAAGTCAGGGTCACGTGGATGGAAGGAGGCCCTGGTTAGCACAGGCAAAATCTTCACATCAACCTCCACCTCACCAACCCTGCCCAGTGCCATTCAGAAGGCTCAAAGAAGATGGATCTGAGGCCAGTTTTCCCATTGTTCTCAGATTGCCATAGATCATAAAGTACAAGAAAGAAGACTTCTAAAATGGAGGCCTCCTAAGAGTGGTGCATCTCTTTTCTCTCTCATTACTAGGTCCAGCCAATTAAGGGTCCTGAACTTGATAAAAAGTCTCTTAATAAGGAAAAGTAGGATTTTTTTTTTGTCCTTCTAAGGGACATCTTACTGCCAGAATCTTTGCTTCTACAGACAAGGGCAGCCTCTGCATACAGTTTGTGCAGTAGCTTCGGGCCCTGTGCATAGAAGGGTACTGCACTTGGTTTAATGCTCTATTGTTGCCATCTTGAAATTCTGAATAATTTCTGAACAAGGAGCCCTGCCTTTGGCATGTGGCCCTCCTTGTTATTTAGCAGGTCCTGTCTAGAGGTTTTAGCAGCTCTGGGTTTGCTAATGAGAAGGCAAAATGTCAGGCCACCTTCCTATCTCTGCCCATTTCCTGTCTGTCCATGATCTTCCTGATCTCAGCCTCCCAAATAGCTAGGATTACAGGCATGAGCCACTTGGTGCCTGGCAGATTTTTGAAAGGAGATATGAGCTGTGGGCTACTAGAAGAGAGGCCTAGAAGAAAATAAAAACAACCCTGAGTTTGATAAAGACGTAAGGTTCAGGCTACTTTTGGCTGAATCAGCAAACAATATTGGGAGATGAAATATAGCTTAAGAGATACCATTGGAAACCCCAGGGCCCTCCATCCTATCATCATTATTGCGCTCATCATGAGAGTGAATTTGTTTGTGTGGATGTCTCTCCACTGGAGTGTACCATGTCTTTACATCTTTTATGCCTTGCTTTTAATCCAGTTACTGGGACATAATAAGAATTCAGTAACTGTTAGTTCAATGAATTAGTATTACAGACAGTCTAAATTATTATCCTGGGACGTGTTTGTCTAATCCAGTGGGGAATGGAAAAACACTGAAGGGTTTTGAATGGGAGAAAGATTGTATTTAGT